TGTGTTCATCCAGCTCTACACCTTGTTATCTCAGATTCTCCAGCATCGGCAGTTCCTACAACCTCTTATATTTAGTGCCTTGGTCCATAACCAGTGGCTAGGTATCCAGCACTGGGGCAAAGTCTCTTTGAGAGGATGGAAACTGGAGTGAGAAAATAATCAACAATTAGGGGAGTGGGCAGTAAAATGGAGTTGAGGCCAAGATGAGATCAGCTGTGATCGCATCATATGGTGGAGCAGGCTTGAGGGGCTGAATTGCTAACTCCTCCTAGTTCTTACGTAACTAAAACAAAAATCACTTGTTTTGTTCAATTGAAATGAATGAGCATTGTTCCAAGGAACCTGGACTGGAGGGCAGGTCTTATGAAGAAAGGTTGTGGGAGCTTGGGCTTTTTTCATTGGAGCAAAGAAGGATGAGAGGTGACTTGATAGAGGTGTACAAGATGATGAGAGGCATAGATAGAGTGGATAGTCAGAGACTTTTTCCCAGGGCGGAAATGACAGTTACGAGGGGGCATAATTTTAAGGTGATTGGAGGAAGGTATAGGGGAGATGTCAGAGGTAGGTTCTTCACACAGAGAGTGGTGGGTGCGTGGAATGCGTTGCCGGCAGTGGTAGTGGAGTCGGATACTTTAGAGACTTTTAAGCGACTCTTGCATAGGCACATGGAGGATAGTAAAATGTAGGGTATGCAGGGTAGTTTGATCTTAGTAGGACAATAGGTTGGCACAACATTGTGGGCCGAATGGCCTGTACTGTGCTGCACTGTTCTATGTTCTATGTTCTAAATTTTTCTTCACTAGTAAGATGGGGTCAAGATGAAACACTAAGGTTTTGGCCCATTCTGGAATGATCACCTTTATTGAGAAAGTCTAGAACAAGGGAGCTTAACCTTAAAATTAGAGATGGAAAGATGACAGGATGCACTTCTTCACGCAAAGTGTAATGAAAATCTGGAACCCGAAAGCTGTTGAGGCTGTGAATTAATGTAAGGTGTCAACATTGGGATTAACAGATGGGATTGTTGAGTAAGGGTATTATGGCACTGGGGACTGAGGTGGGTAGATGGAGTTAAAGCTATAAATCAGTTGTGACCTAATTAAATGGCAGAACAGGTTTGAACTGGCCTCCTCATGCTCCTGTGCCCTGAAATGTGTTTTGACACATACATACACTATACACAGGTTTTTCTTTAACTGGATGAATTAAACCATCTGAAAGCATTTTCATGCTGGGTCAGTTTTAGGCTGGAATTGGAAAAATGCAGGAGACTGTTGAATATTGGTCTTGACATGTATGGGTGAAAGGGGCTTGACAGATTCAGTGAATGAGCTGCCTGTAGGTAGATTGCAGGCTAATGAGGCTTTCTGATTTCCTCCCTCCCCACCCCCAGTTCTCTCTCAGCCCCACCCTTGAGGGCCTGACTGGCATTCAGATGTGGACCCAGCTCCTTTTGAATTTCAGATTTTATCTGACTACCGATCCCCATGGCAACCTGAGACTAAAACAGCTAAATCAAGGTTTACAAGAAACACAGCCTCGCACATTTTGTTTTGCTAACAAAATTGGCAAAGTGAAATCAGTGTGTGAGGGCCAGCTGTTCAAGCTGACTCCTGCAGTGACAGTGGGGGAAGGGATTTTCGATTCATGTCAGATACTCAGTATAATCTCGTTGGCTCCTAGTAGTTTGTTTTGTGCAGAGGTGTAGGTGTAAAGTGTGTGCGAGGCAATTTAGGAGATCAGCTCATACTGAACATTTATAAAATACCTTTCACAGCGTTAATTATCAACAAAGTTCGATTATGATCCACATGAGTCATTAGGGCAGGCTTCCAAAAACTTTGCCAAAGTTTTAAGGAGTGTCTCAAGCGGGGAGGGTTGGGGTGTGTGTGAAATCAGAGGCTTCAGCAGGGAATTCCAGGGTTTAGGGGTCAGACAGTTGCAGACGTGGCCACCATTGGTTGAGTGCTGGGAATCGAGATGGGCAAGGGATCCAAAATTGGAGGAGTGTGGCAATCCCCAAGAATTGTATGGCTGGAGCAGGTTATAAGTGAATAGGGACAGGTGAGTGAGGTCATGAGGGAATTTAAAAACATGCATGAGGAGCTGCCTGACCATTATATACCAGTGAGCAAGGGGATGATAGAATCAGAGAGTCTCTAGAGTGTGGAAGCAGGCCATTTGGCCCATCGATACCAGACTGAGCCTCTGAAGAGCATCCCATCCAGATCCCGCCACCCTATTCCTGTAACCCAGCTATTCCACCTAGCTTGCACAACTCTGGACACTATGGGTGATTTAGCATGTTCATTCCAGCTAACATCTACATCTTTAGACTGTGGGACGAAACTGGAGCACCTGGAAGAAAAAAAACAAGCAGGCACGGGAAACTCCACACAGTTGCCCAAGGTTGGAATTGAACCCACGTCCTTGGCACTGTGAGGCAGCAGTGCTAACTACTGAGCCACCATGCCACCCAGATGTATTGGAGCTGGTGTAAACTAGGGCATGGGAAACAGGGATTTGGATATACTCAAGTTTACATGGGGTTGAATGTGGGAGACTGGCCAGGAATGCACTAGAAGTAGCCAAAGCTTGAATAGGATTTCAGCAACAGATGAGTTGTGAGGCAGGGACAGAGATGATATTTACAAAGTATTTACTGCACCGAAGCAAGAAGTCAATGCTGATGGTGAATGATATTCTCAGCCACGGATAGGAAGTGAGTTTGGAGTATCGTCAAAACAACCATAGTTCAGATATGACCCTGAATATAACCCTTATGACATGCACAAGTTGGGAGTTAGAGTGCAATGGAACCTTACTCTGCTCTGACCTAAATTAGAACTGTGTCCAACTTTTCTGCACTTTTTTATAGACGGTGAAATAGCAGAAATAGATGCCACCCAGTTAGCAGCCATGTTAATGTGAAATGTGGTTGTGGAATTCTGGTGGGCATTCTGCTCACTCCCACTGTTCCCTGCCTCAATTTATTCTGCAAAGTGTACGTTCCTGTGTTTGGGGTCTGCTACGAAAGGCACGAGTCATTCACCGTCTCCACGAATCACTTCAAGAAGTCCACCCTGCCTCCACACCAACTCAATCCCTCCAACACAAATCCCAATCCGCCTCTATCTCAATCCAATTGAGCCCAATCTCACTTCTGACCCATCTTCACACTAACTCATCGGCTCCTCCAATTTTAATCTCAATCCATCTCCATCCCAATCCAACCAATCCTAACTCTGCTGTCGCCCCCAACCTCATATCCCATCTCATAGCAACTTAATGCCACCCTACTTAACCTACTCAACACACTGTCCTCAACCCACCCTACTGCCCCTCCCCTCACCATGTTAAGCAATCTTTGCTGTCATAATCCTTACTTATCAGATAAATTGACGCATTTTGCTCAATTGAAACTTATGGACTGAAGGTAGCTTGGAGATTTTTAGAATTCCTTTCCAGGGAAAAAGGAGATTCTGGGAAAGCCTGATTTATTGTCTGTCTGCAGGGGTCATTGTGAACCTTACTGAACAGCGAAAGTCATTGGGTTAGTGCTGTTAAGCAGCAGCGTCCAGGATCTTGAATTGGCATTGACGATGATGGAATAATGGTACAAGTCCCAGTGGGAGGAAAACTTGGAGGTATTGGTGCTCCTTGACATTGCTGCTTTTGCCCTTCTGGCAGTGGAGTATGTGGGGAAGGTGCTAAATAATGTGGTGAGTTGTTGCGTTTTTAGACAATGTGTTATAGCCGTAATACGCTGATGGAGAGGGGCTAGACGCTGAATTCCATGACACTGATTAATATGATCGACATGATGTGGCTATGTTACTTTCTGTAGAAGCGTAAAAAGTGGGAGTCAGTATCCTTTACATGGAGCCATCTGTTCAAGGATCAGAATCAAAGATTAATCCAATATTACTTCTCTTGGATTGCAAAGCTGGAAAAATGACAAAACATCCACTGTGGTCACTTGGAAACTATTGCTTCTGTTCTGTACAACTAATTAATTTGTTGTTTCCTACAGACATTGGTGTTGGAAGTGACTCAGTATGTGCCCGCCACCAATCCCATCATATCAAGTCGGTTGATTCCCTGGCTGGATCACATTTATCACTTGGAAGAACTTCTAAAAACCTTCCGGGAAAGTACCGAAGTTTGGTGAGTGAGTTTTGGACCTTGGAAAAGGTGGAATAGAATTTCAAAATGAGGAAATGACAAAAGTAGAATGAGGAGACTCTTACAGACTGATCTTTCGATGGGTGGGATTGTTGCAAGAAGAATTGTACCCAAATTAAAAGAGTCATTACCCAATGGGTGAAGCTTTGTGAAATACTGTCCATTGGCCCACACATTATCCGAAGTTTTTCAGCCGAGAATTCGAATGAATAGATTTTTCACAGGTACCTGACAGTGCACATTTCTAAAACCAGGAATCTATTAGAAAAATGAGATGCTCAGGCATCCTTGAGCTCTTAGATCTTATTCTTTGTTTTCCTCTTAATTACTCACTTTGTGTTTTTAGCCTTTTGTCAACACTTAATAAGGCACCTTGACTTTAATCTTCAAGATGACATTGATTTGTTTAAGCTAAGAACATCCCTGCTATTCTCCCCATGTGGCCCTAATAGTTGTAGGCTCTCATTCTAGTAAATCTCCTCTGTATCATCTCGAAGATCGACACAGAATTGGACACGCTCCTCCAGCTGAGATATAACCAGTGATTTATAGAGGCTGACTTTTTTACACAGAATGAATTCTTCTTCCAAATTCAATTTCATTAACTATTTCTTTCTCTCTTTAAGGACATGACTGATAACAGCAACCATCACATGATTGTGAAAGCAAAATTCAACTTTTATCAGACCAATGAGGATGAACTCTGCTTTACCAAGGGCGACGTTATCCATGTGACCAGAATTGAGGAAGGGGGCTGGTGGGAGGGGACATTAAATGGCAGAAATGGATGGTTCCCCAGCAATTACGTGAGGGAAATAAAATCTAATGGTAAGTAGCCAAGTTAAATGATAAGTAAGTCTGAAGTATTCAAATACCTCCAAAGGGAACAAAGTTTTGTTTTCTTTCTCTACATGGTCCCTGCAGACTTGAGCTTGCAACTAAACTGTTCTGAGGAAATGTTCGCATCAGTTTCAATGTTAAATGTTGATCTAAGAAAGTATATATAAGTAGTGAAAACTGGAAATTTGTGCAGAGAGGAGATTTTTAAAAAATGATCAAGGCAGGAATAAATGGTTCTCAATTTCATTAAAATTACGCAAACTATTGATAGTAGGTTGCAAAAGATACATCACATCACCAGCTACCCAGAGAAGATCATGTTGGACCTTCTTAAATCATTGGTGGTGGCTTCATGTAACTGATGGATTGTCTGGTCTGCTTTAGGGAAAAGTTAATTGTCAACCACACTGATGTAGGGAGGTTGAAATCACTGTACAGAGGCCAGTATTCCCTCACCAAGTCACCCTTTATTTACATGGGCTGTGACCAGCCAGCTCAAAGCCAGTCCCTCGACTGAGGAGCCTTTCTGAATTTCCTGTTTGTGTCTGTCAGCCAGGGCTCCCTGATTGGTCTATGTTAACAGCTTCAATCAGGGAACTCATAATCAATAAGATCCACCTGGCCATAATTCCAGTCACGACAGAGGGGTAATACATAGACCCAGACTGGATAAGGATGGCGCCTTCCCTTCTCTTCAAGGGCGTTAGCAAATTTATTCGGTTTTTAACAGAATTTAACAACTTTGTAGTCGCTTCTATTGAGACAGTTTGTTACTTGTAGATTTTTACACTGAGTGCTGAACTTTCCGTGATGTTGCCTTTGGATGAACCGTGAAACTGTGGTCCCATCTATCTTCTCAGGTGGACATTAAAGATCCCTTGGTATGATTTGAGGAAGTGCAGGGGACATTTCGTGGGTATCCTGACCCAATATTTATTTTTCTTTCTCATTGTGGGAGCTTTCTGTGTACAAATTTACTGCTGCATTTCCTGCATTACCAGACTGATTACACTTCAAAAAGTACTTCATTCTATAAAGCATTTTGGGATTTCCTCAGATCATGAAATGCATCTTTGTACTCCACTTTAATAGCATTGTCCTGTTTACGTGTGCAATCACAAATACCTCTGACTCCGTTTTGGGGAATTAAGTTTTCAACTCAAACTGTTCCACTTTGAATTCCATTTGCTGTATCAAATCCATTAATTATTTTAAATAGCCCAATTAGATCACACCGTAATCTTCTAAACTCAAGGGAATGCAAACTTAATCGATGCAACTTGTCGAAAGAACATATGAAATCAGAACAAGAATAGGCTATTTGACCCCTCAAGCCCGCTCCACCCTTCTGCATGATCTGTCTGAGGCCTTAACTCCTCACTATTTCAAAAATTCTACCTACCTCCTGTCAGTGATATAACTTGTGCATCTCAGTGGAAAATTCCAGACATTTCACTACCTACTGAGAGAAGAAATTATTTTGCATCTCTGATTTAATTGAATGTCCCCTGTTCTGTAACTATGTTCCCGAGTTCAAGAATCTCCCACTATGGAAACATTTTCTCAACAATTACCCTCTCAAGCTCCTTAAAATCTTGTATGCTTCAATAAGATCACCCCTCATTCTTCTAAACTGCCTCTCTGCTCCTATGATGCTGCTTGGCCTGCTGTGTTCATCCAGCCCTGCATCTTGTTGTCTTGAATAAAGGGGTTACATGTTTAGCTGTTCTTGATACGTTCCAAGAATCAGCCAAGTGAATCTCATTTGAAATTAGAGTGTACTCATTCTTAAATACAGGGATGAAGACTCAAATAACTTCACAGAGGCCAGTGTCCCATCAACATCTCGCCCTTTATATACACGTAGAGAATCTTTGACACTGATCTAGCTCCCTCAGAGCCAGCTCTCAGTGCGAACAGAACCTCTAACACCCCTGTTCTTATCTGTCAGCCAGGGCTTCCTGATTAGACCAGATTAACACCCCCAATCAGGGAACTCATGTTCTGTGAGGTCCACCTGGCTAACTTCATTACAATCACTACAAAAACTGAAGCCTAGGGTGCAACCTTACCAATATTCTGTACAGTGTAACATGACTTTGCTGTTTTTTCAGTTCCAAACCCTAGCAATAAAGACCAAATTCCATTTACCTTCTGAATTTCTTGTTTCACCTGTATGCTAATGTTTTGTTTATCAAATACAGGAACATCAAGGTCCCTTTGCGCTATACATTTTGGAGTCTTTCTCCATTTAAATAATAGCCTGCCTTCTGATTCTTCCTGCCAAAGTGCATGACCTCACACTTTCCTAAATTAAACTCCATTTACCAAGGTTTTGCCCACTTACTTAAACTGTCAATATTCCCTTGCAAATTCCTTTATGTTCTCATCACAACATGTCCACTTACCTGTTTTTGTATTGTCAGCAAATTTGGATACGTGTTAATCTGCATCCTCCTCCATGTCATTAATGTGGATAGTAAGCAATTGAGGATCTAAGGACTGATTCTTATGGAACTCCACTGGTTATGTCTTTCCAACCTGAAAATGACTCATTAATCCTTTTTGTTATTCACTCATGGGATATAGGCATCACTAGCTGGCCAGCATTAATTGCCCATCATTTGTTGTCCTTAAGAAGGTGCTGGTGAGCTGCCTTCTTGAATCACTGCAATCCACCTGCTGTAGGTGGACCCACAATGTGTGAGGGAGGGAATTCCAGGATTTTGACCCCGCGGCAGTGAAGGAAAGGCATTTTCCAAGTCAGGATGGTGAATGGCTTGGAGGGGACTTTGCAGGTGGTGTTATTTCCATGTATCTACTGCCCTTGTCCTTTGAGATCGAAGTCTTTGTGGATTTGGAAGGTGCTATCTAAGGCTATTTGGTGTATTTCTGCAATGCATCTTGTAGATAGTCATCCTACTACCACTGAGTGTCTGTGGTGAAAGGAATGGATGTTTGTGGATGTGGTGACAATCAAACCGGTTACTTTGTCCTGGGTGGTGTCAAGCTTTTTAAGTGTTATTGAAGCTGCACTTATCCAGATAAGTGGGGAGTATGCCTTGTAGATGTGGACACGCTCTGGGGAGTCATGAGGTGAGTTAATTCCCACAGTATTCCTAGCCTCTGACCAGATTTTATAGCCATTGTGTTTATGCGGTGAGTCCAGATGAGTTTCTGGTCAATGGTAACTCCAAGGATATTGATAGTGGGGGATTCAGCGATGGTAACACCATTGAATGTCAAAGGTTGGTGGTTAGGCTTTTTTATTGGCGATGATCATTGCATGGCATTTGTGTGATGTGATTGTTACTTGCCACTTGTCAGCCCAAGCCTGGATATTGTTCAGATCTTGTTGAGGTTGAACATGGACTGCTTCAGTATCTGAGGAGTTGCGCATGGTGCTGAACATTGTGCAATCATTGGCGAACATCCCCACTTCTTTCTGTATGATGGAAGGAAGGTCATTCATGAAGCAACTGAAGCTGGTTGGCCTAGGACACTATCCTGAGGAACTTCTGCAGAGATGTCTTGGACCTGAGATGACTGACCTCCAACACCCACGACCATCTTCCCGTGCACCAACCAGAGGAGAGTTTTCCCCCGATACCCATTGATTCCAGTTTTGCTAGGGCTTCTTGATTTCACACTCAGTTGAATGTGGCCTTGATGTCAACCCCTGAACTCACCCCTGGATTTCAGCTCTTTTGTCCATGTTTGAATCAAGGCTGTAATGAGGTTAGGAGCTGAGTGGCCCTGGTGAAAGCCAAACTGGGCATCACTGAGCAGGTTATTGCTGAGCAGGTGCTGCTCAATAGCACTGTTGATGACACCTTCCATTACTTTACTGATGATCGAGGGTAGACTGATGAAGCAGTAATTGGCTGATTTGGATTTGTCCTGTTTTTGTGTACAGGACATACCTGGGCAATTGTCCACATTGTGAGGTAGATGCCAGTGTTGTAGCTTTACTGGAAGAGTTTGGCGAGGGGAGCGGCAGGTCCTGGAGCACAAGCCTTCAGTACTATTGCTGGAATGCTGTCAGGGCCTGTAGCCTTTGCAGTATTCAGTGTCTCCAACCGTTTCTTGATGTCATGTGGAGTGAATTGAATTGGCTGAAGACTGGTATCTTTAATGCTGGGGAGCACTGGAGGAGGCCGAGGTGGTATTTCTGGCTAAAATCCTGGCACAGCAGATTTTGAAATGTGCAATCAATATAACAAAATGTTGGAATTAAATATCTACTGATGATCATGAGATCACTGCTGATGGTTGGAAAATCCCACCTGGTGCACTAATTTCCTTCACTGAAGGAAATAAAACATAAGACATCAAGGAGTCCAGAGTCAATGTTGAGGAATCTCACAGCAACTCCCTCCCGACTGTATGTCATTGTGCTGCCACCTCTGCAGAGGACAGGACATATCCAGAGATGGTGATGGTGGTGCCTGGGACATTGTCTGTGAGGTATGATTCCATGATCGTAACTATATTGGGCTGTTGCTTGACTCGTTCAGTGAGACAACTCTCTCAATTTTGGTACTAGCTTCAAGATGTTAGTCAGGAGGACTTTGCAGGGTTGACAGGGCTGTTTCTGCCATTGTCTTTTCGGGTGCCTAAGTCGATGCCAGATAGTCCGTCTGGTTTCATCCATTTGGTACTTCTGGCTGAAAATGCTGCGAATGCTTCAGCCTTATATTTTGCACAGCTGTATTGGACTCTTCCATGATTGAGGATGGAGATATTTGTGCAGCCCCCTCCTTCAATGAGTTGTTTAATTGTCTGTCAACATTTCAGGACTGAATGTGGCAGGATTGTAGATCTTAGATCTGATCCATTCTTCTGAGATCACTTAGCTTTGTCTATCACTTGCTGCTTATGATGTTTGGCACACAATACCTCATTTTTAGGTATGCCTGGTGCTTTGCTCCTGGCATGCTGTCTTGCACTGTCCATTGAGCCAGGGTTGATCCCCTAGATTAATGGTAATGGTTAAGTGGGGGATACGCTGGGCCATGAGGTTGCAGATTGTGCTGGAGTACAATTCTGCTGCTGTTGATGACCCACAGTGCCTCATGGATGCTCAGTTTTGAGTTACTAGATCTCTTTGAAGTCTGTCCCATTTAGGACAGTGATTGTGCCACACAACACAATGTCATGTTTTCTCAGCATGAAGCCAGGACTTTTCTGGTGCCTAGGTCGATGTGAGATAGTCCGTCTGGTTTCATTTCTTCGCTGAGACTTGACAGCAATAAATGCAACTGTGTGGCTTGCTAGGCCATTTTGGAGGGCAGTTGAAGGTCTGCAGTCAAATATAGGTGAGGATAGTGGATTTCCTTCAATGAAGGAAATTAGTGCACCAGGTGGGTTTTTCCAACAATTGACAATGGCTTCATGGTCATGAGTACATTTTTAATTCAAGACACTTTGTTATATTGAATTCAAATTTCACAATCTGCTGTGGTGGGATTCAAACCTAGATCCCCAGACATGAATTGGGACCCTGGATTAATTGTCTAGCGATAACACCACCAGGCCATTGCCTCCCCTAATTCTCTCTCTCTCTCCTGTGTGTTAACTAATACTCAACCTATGCTGATACGTCACTGCCAATACTGTAAGCTCCTACCTTTTGCAATAACTTTTTATGTGGCTCCACATCGGATGCCTTTCAGAACATCTCTGGCATCATAATTCAGCCCTTTTATCCTCAGTGTCATTACAGTGAAACTGCTATATCTCCTCCAAGGCCCTCTTGAGATGTGGTGTCCACAATTGAATGTTGTTACTCTAGATAGGGCTCCCACTGACCAGAGGTTTGGGTAACTTAATGTGACTTGCACCGTTTTGTATTCTAGCCCCACTGCGATCATCTGTTGGCATTTTTAATTATGTTTTGCACTTTAAGTGATTGCTTATCCATGGATCATACATCCTCCTATTTAAATGATTTACTGAGTTCTAATTATAAGTTCCAAAGCACATAACCTCTCATTTCCACACGTTAAATGGTACATATCAAAGTTCTTGCCCAGCCACCTAATCTTTCAAAATGTCAAAGATGGCACGTACGGCAATGGCGCAACCTTGCAATCTCTGTTCTTTGCACCTCATAATTCATGGGCTGAAACTGATGCTACAATTACAGTTTACTATGTTGGATGTTTTCAATTAAGAATTAGACTGGGGCTTTCTTCCCTGGAGCGTGGGAGGCTGAGGAGTGACCTTATAGAGGTGTACAAAATCATGAGGGACATGAATGAGGTGAATAGCCAAGGTTGTTTTCCTAGGGTGTGGGAATTCAAAACTAGAGGGCATAGGTTTAAGGTGAAAGTGGAAAGATTTAAAAAGGACCTCAGGGGCAACTTTTTCACGCAGAGGGTGGTGCGTGTATGGAATGGGCTGCCAGAGGAAGTGGTGGATGCTGATACAATTGTTACATTTGAAAGGCATCTGGATGGGTACATGAATAGGAAGGATTTAGAGGGATATGAGCTAAATGCTGACAAATGAGACTAGGTTAAATTCAGATATCTGGTAGGCATGGATAAATTGGACCAAATGGTCTGTTTCAGTGCTGTATAGCCCTACGACTGTAAGTCTGAGTCACTATCTGAAAACCTGCTTCTTAACAGCACTGTTTCTGGGGTACCTACAGGAGGTGAACAGCAATGGTGTACCACCACCTTCTCCAAGGCAGTTAGAAATGGGCAATAAGTGATGGTGTGGCAAGAAATACAAAAAGGATTTAAAAAGACATTGATATTCGTGACAATGTGAAGCTGCTACATAGAGTAATTCTCGAACACTCAGAAAGCAGTACAATAAGGCCTGGACAAAGCTGTTGTCACTGGTGACCCTGTGAACAGGTCTCACCTTAAAACTCAAGTCACTATTTCACAGGCGTCTGAGTCTGGTGGCTTGAACGATGATCTTACCACAGGATTTTCACCAGAAAATGCTGTCGGTCAGAATCAGCTACACCTCAACATCCACTACTTTGAAACTTGTTTGAGCCAGATCTAAAGGTGTGAAGCAGGGAGAGGCCATCTAGTTTGTCTATACATGCAAAAATAAGCCAGGCAAATATGATGTGTTAAATTGCCAAATCACAATGTTCAGATGACGGTAAAGCGATAACATGACCTCTGGACTCGGCTAGATTGCTGACAATAGGTCTGGTCACTGGTGTATCTTTAAGAGATAGTGTAGAGGAGAACAGCAAGGTTGGTTGCTTATAATATAGGAAAAGCAAGAACTTGAGTTGGGGCTGTTCATTCTTTATTATGAGCCATTTGGCATCTTGATCACCAGAGCTGTGAGTGGTACAGTTGCCTTGAGAGGGTTTACAAGTTCTCTCTGTCTTTCTCCCACTCTGACTCCCATTTGTCCTCGCACCTCCCACCTGTTTGTGGGAGCTTGCTGTGTTGTTTTTATTTTAATGAAAATGAAATGACATTTCAGTTTAATTAATCAGATAGGATTGGCTTGGTTTCAGATGCCAATTTATGTTGTGAGCTAAACATTTTGATGTTTGTTAGTTAAAAGCTTTGACAACTGATTCATTCTGCAGAGAAACCGGTCTCGCCAAAGTCAGCAACTCTGAAAAGTTCTCCAAAAGGATTTGAAACTCCTCCAATTAGCAAAAGTTACTACAATGTGGTGAGTGACACATCCTGTTTGTCTTCAGTGGGATTTGATGAAGAACTTTCTGCTAAAATCTATTAATTTGAAGACATTTTAACAAAACATGAAAGTGAAGGGCCATTTTTACAGCCCCTGTGTGTCTGCATCAATGTATATCAGTTTCTCAGAGAAAATGTGACTGCATCGTAATAGGGTCATCAAAACAAAGCTCTCTGGTAATGAAGTGGTTGATAAAAGTTACTCAATGTCCTTTTGGTGATATTGGTTTTAAAAGGCCATCAGCAGCTGTGATGATAATTGATGGGGAAGAGTTTTACTCATGAATTTTGGCGAAATCTGTTAAGGAATATAGTTTAAGGAAAAATAAACATTGTCATTAAGAAAACTGCAAGAGCGATTCAGTGGCGAGAAATTCTGCAGGGATTAACTTGCCTCCTAACTCCCTGAAACCTGTCCACATGTCACAGGAGTGTGAAGGAATACTCATAGGAACGTGGGAACAGAAAAATACCATTCTGCCCATCCAGGTCTGCTCTGCCATTCAATTAGATCATGGGCAATCAGCTACCTCAACATCACCCTCATGTGCTTGTTTCATATACGTTGATGTTAGTGGTCTCCAGAAATTTATCATTTTCTGTTTGGAACATGCTCATTGAGTTTCCCTTTCGTTGGAAATTCCAAAGATTGAGCACCCTCTGAATGAAGAAATGCCTTCCTATCTCAGTCTAAAACAGCCTACACCTTATTTTGAGACTCTGTCCCTTGGTTTTAGATGTAACAGCCTGGGGAAACATCCTGTTGACACCTACTCTGTCACGCCTTTTATGAATTTGGTAAATTTCAATGAGATGACTCCTCAGTTTGTGAAACTCCAGGGTGTACAGGCCCACATTCCTCATTCTCTCCTCATAAGATAGTTCTGCCTTCCAGAAATTAGTTAAGTGAACTTCCGTTGCATTATTGGTTTGACAATGTATCCTTCTTTCGATAAGGAGACCAAAACTGAATGCAGTACCATAGTTACAGTCTCAATAAGGCTTTCTGCATTTGTAGGAAGACATCTGTACTTCTCTACACAAACTCTTCACAATGAAGATCAACGTACCATTGTTTGATTGTTATGTGTATATGCTAGCTCTCAGCAACTCATAATCAAGGACACCTAGGCCCCTTTGGACATCAACATCTGCAAATCTCCTGCCATTTAAGAAATGCTTTAATTTTTTTTAACCAAAATAGATAACTTCATATCTATTCACAGTATCTTCCATCTGCCATGTTCTCTCCTGTTGACTTAGCCAATGCAGGTCTGCTTAAAATCTCCTTGCATCTTCGTCACAACTCACATTGTCACCTGATTTTGTGTGATTGTGAAATTTGAAAATATTACATTTTGTCCTCAACCATAACATATTTATATAGATTGTGAACAGCTATGATCCTTATGCTGATCCTCAAGTCATAAAGGTAATGTCCATACCTCTGGGCCAGAAGGCATGAGTCCAAGTCCCACCTGCGTCAAGAGATGTCATAAAATGTCTGAACAGATTGATTAAAAATACTTCTAATTAGCATTGATCCTTGCTGTGTTGCATAAATAGCAGCCTGCCATTCTCAGAGTGACCCATTTATTCCTGCTCACTGCTTTCTCTTAATGTATTCTCAATCCATAGAGGTATATTAGCACCAATTCTATATTCTCCATTTCTGTTCACCAATATCTTGTATGCAGCCTCATTAAAAGCCGTATGGAAACAGCACATCCACTGGTTCTTCTGTATCTGTACTACAAATTACTCCTTCAGAAACACCCAACAGGTTTGTTAAACATGACTTCCTTTTCATAAATCCATATTGACAATACCCAATTCTATCATGATTTTCGAAGTATCCAGCTATCACATCGTTATTATAAACTTTAGCATCCTTCCTGCTACAGATGTCATGCTAATGGCTCTGTCATTCTCCATTCCCCTTTCTTCCCAAAATATTTTTTTAGAATTCTGAAAGAAAAACCAAAGCATCCACTATCGCTACGGCCACTTATTTCAACACTCTGGGATGTTGTTCATCTAGACCAGGGGATTTATCAATCTGCAAACCAGTAATTTTATAAATATTTTCAGAGATAGTAGGAACTGCAAATGCTGGAGAATCTGAGATAACAAGGTGTAGAGCTGGATGAACACAGCAGGCCAAGCAGCATCAGAGGAGCAGGAAAGCTGATGTTTCGGGCCTAGAACCTTCTTCAGAAATGGGGGAGGGGAAGGGGAAGGGGGTTCTGAAATAAATAGGGAGAGGGGGGAGGTGGTTCGAAGATGGATAGAGGAGAAGATAGGTGGAGAGGAGACAGACAGGTGAAAGAGGCGGGGATGGAGCCAATAAAGGTGAGTGTAGGTGGGGAGTTAGGGAGGGGATAGGTCAGTCCAGGGAGGACGGACAGGTCAAGGGGGCGGGATGAGGCTAGTGGGTAGGAGATGGGTGTGGGGCTTGAGGTGGGAGGAGGGGATAGGTGGGAGGAAGGACAGGTTAGGGAGACGGGGACAAGCTGGTCTGGTTTTGGGATGCGGTTGGGGGAGGGGAGATTTTGAAGCTTGTGAAATCCACATTGATACCATTGGGCTGCAGGGTTCCCAAGCGGAATATGAGTTGCTGTTCCTGCAACCTTCGGGTGGCATCGTTGTGGCACTGCAGGAGGCCCAGGATGGACATGTTGTCTGAGGAATGGGAGGAGGAGTTGAAATGGTTCGCGACTGGGAGGTACAGTTGTTTAGTGCGAACTGAGCGTAGGTGTTCCACAAAGCGGTCCCCAAGCCTCCGCTTGGTTTCCTTGATGTAGAGGAGGCCACAACGGGAACAGCGTATGCAGAATACCACATTAGCAGATGTGCAGGTATCTTTGGCCAGCCAAAGTTAGTTTACCATTCTAATTGGGTAGATGTGCCTTGGAGGAATGTGTATTTGTTGCAGATCATGCGATATTTCTTTAAATATTTGCCTTTTCCTGTCTACCTTCAAATTCTTCAGTATATTTTCTCAATCCACCATAGTCAGTTTGCTCGTCCATACTTTCATAATTGCCTTTGTTTTGATTTAAAACTTCAGTTCTAGAATGAGCACGACCACATTCAAGCTGAGTGTGAAATTTTGTTATATTATGTTCCTTTTTCCTAAATGCTCCTTTGCAGCAAGATTATTAATTAATTAACCGTTTCTCATTACATTACACTAAATCTAAAAGCCCAATTCTGAGCTGATTTTAAAATGCACTGCTCTACAAGTCCATCTTACAGACATTCTGGGAATTTATCATTCACAGCATTAGAACTAATTAGGTTTACACAGTCTGTACACAAGTGAAAGTCTTTCATTCTTACTGTATTACCCATATTACACACAACTTTATTTCCTGATTTGTACCATGCCCAACATTATCATAATTGTTTGGCAGACAATAAACAGCCACAATTAATGTTTGCTAGCCCTTGTTGTTTCTTGGCTTCACCCAACCTGATTCTACATCTTGATCCTTTGATTTATGATCATCACGCACTAATTTACTGATTTCATCCTTTATGAAGAGTGCTGTCCCAACTCAGTTTCCTTGTAGTTGATCCTTTTTAAGTGATGAATAATATTGATATTCAATTCTTAATCTTGGTCACCCTGTAGCCACATCTCTTTTAACCAGCTCTTACTTTCCCTCAATCTTAGATGAAAGTTGCTCCAATAATCTTCAAGAAATTCAACACAGTCAGTCCATGACAAAGCTGCAAACTTGTTCAGAACCCCATTTACCACCATCAGTATTCACTCTGTACATCGCTGATGCATGGTGGCAGCAGTATGTACGATGTACGAGGTGAACTGTAGCGACTTGCCAAGGCTTTTTCAACAGCACCTTTCAAAGTTACAGTCTTTACCACCTTGAAGGCCAAGAGCAGCAGATGGCTGGGATTATCATCATCTGCAATTTCTTCTCCAAGCCAAAAATTGTCCTAAATTGGTAATATATCACCATTCCTTGAATGTGGCTGGGTTAATAACCTGGAACTCGCTCCCTGATAGCCAATAACAAATGGACTGCAGCAGCTCATATTGTTGCTTGCCATCACCTCTCAACTGCAATTCAGGATGGACCATAAATGCTGGCCTCAAACAGTTATGTTCACATCCGTGACTGTGAAGGAAGCAAAGTTTGAGCACATGGATATACATATAAAAAAAGTGTTTGGGGGATGATAGCTAACCTTGCAGATGACACAAAGATTGGCTTGGATGGTTGACAGTGAGGACGAAGTCTTAAGTTACAGGAGGATACAGGTGGATTGGTCAAATGGACAGATCAAATAACTCTGATAAATGTGACATGATGCACTTAGGAAGAACTAACAAAACAAGGGAGTACTCAATGATTTGCAGGACACCAGGAAGCTTGGAGGAATATTGAGGTGCTTGACTACAGATCCCTGAAGACAGCAGGACATGTTAATGAAATAGTTAGGCATTTGGGACGCTTGCTTTCATCAGCTGTGGCATAGATTATAAGAGCAGGGAGGTTATGTTGGAACTGTGCAAAACAGCTGGAGCACTGTTTGCAGTTCTGGGCATTTCATTATAGGGAGGATGAGATTGCAGTGGAGGAGTGCAGAGGATGTTCACCCGGATGTTGCCTGGGATGGAACAGTTTAGCAATGGACGATGGTTGGATAAACTTGGGTTGTTTCCTTTAGAAAAGAGCTGAGAGGGGACCTGACTGACGTGTATTAGATTATGAGGGGCCTGGACAGGGTGAATAGAAAGCAGCTGTTCTCCTTAGCTAAAGGACCAATAATAAGGGGGCATCATTTTAAGATGAGAGACAGGCGGTTTAGAGGGGATTTAAGGAAAACCTTTTTCACCCAGAGGGTGGTGTGAAACTGAAATGCACTGCCTGGAAGTATAATTAGGTGGCATATTTTGTAGCTTTTAAAACGCACTTGAATGAACCCTTGAAATGTTAGGACATTCAA